ATGATCATTGTCTGCTCTAGAATTCAGCTCACAAGTGGGACTCAAAAATATTCATATCCCTGACAGTTTCCAAATTATTCTTATCCATGTTATTCAAGCAATTTTCAGACAGGAAGTGAGGCATTTGTCTGGAGATTATAAATATCTAAAAGCAGCGTCATTTTTTGTGTTTATTTCAATTCTGGCAACAACAAAAAAAGGTATGTTGAAAATTAGCTGTAACCTCAGTGATCAATTGAAAAATCTTCCCATTTAAGACCTGCTTGCCATCACCCTAATGTTTAGCTCCCAGTCAGCAGAAACATTTTGGTGATTTAAACAAACAAAAACATCACAAACTGCACAGGATGTGAATCATTATAGGTGTAACTCCAGTTTCAACAAGATGTTTCCCCATCGTGACGGTTGTTGCTTTTTGTGACTGGAAGTATTTCCAAATTTCACCTCATTTCTTTTACCCAGTAAAAAAAAAAAGTGGAACGGCTGTTTTCTCAGTTAGATGATTGGAGGAAGATGAAGTCCAACCTTTTCTACTGTCTCTCGTTATAAGAGAGACAGTAGAGGGCCTGGAATAGAAACAGTATCCAAAAAACAAAGTCTTACTGAGTATATTTGGTCTACTTTCTTGTGCAAATATCGGAATCAAATAAAGCAAGACAAGGACCTTGTGTTAAGTAAATAATTGATTCATTTTGATGAATTACTGCTTTCACTGGGAGATTAATTCACTTAAAACGCAGGGAAAATGTCCTGTTGTAAGTGAATTAATTTATCACTTTTTCATCAACATTAATGAATTATTTACTAAAAACAAGCTCCTATATTTTGCTGGAAAGTTGATTGTAATTTAGTTTGGTCTTATTTAAGATATTTGCGCTCTAAACTAGACCAAAAAAAAAAACTTGGTTAGACTTGGTGTTTTGACTGTGTGGGACACAAATAAATAAATACTACGTCGCCATTATTTTCTGTTAACGCGCTTCCTGTCTGGTGTCATCCGGTTCAACCCGTTCTCCATCCGGTGAAACTGAACTCCAGTAACCGGTTCTGTCTCGACGGGTCCAACAGAACCACACCCTGTTGGGCCTACATTGGTTCCAGTAACCGGTCCATGCCTGTAGTTAATAAATCAAACACTCCTGTCAGAGAACAGCTTCCGGTTTTTTTGTTTTTTAACATTGCAGCCGAAAAAAACGAACAAAAATGGCGAGTAAGCTGGCTCGGCTCGGCTCGGCCTCAGAGAGGGAGGGTGTATTATTACACTCCGTGTTAAACATGCAAGAGTTTAAATACTTGTATTGATGTGAGGGAGTGTGTGCGCTCTGTGTCGAACACCTGCCATGTTCTCGGTACTCTGAATGAGCGGGTTTGAGTTACCCAGACAGAAGTTCTCCCCAGAACCAATCAGCTTTCAGAACACATGTGCGTCAGATCCGGGCGCCCTGTGACTCACTTCACACTAACACGCCTTCACACCGTGAACCACGCCACATCCGGACCACAGTTACTGTACCGCACCGACGTCTCAGGAAGGAATCTTAATGTGTGCTCGGCCTGTTGCTTGTTTTTGTTCTGTGATGCGATCCCTAAAGTCTCCAATCACAAATGCTACTGAGCCCCCCATCCCCCTCCTCACACACACACACACACACACACACACACACACACACACACACACACACACACACCCGAACCCATTTTTGTTAAAACCTGGCCTGCCTGGACTCGTTGCAACATAGGAAGCCATGTGTGAATCATTTGTACCTTTCATTTGTATAAAAATGTTTTATATATATATATATATATATATATATATATATATATATATATATATATATATATATATATATATATATATAGATGCTTTCATCCTTTCAGGACTGTGTTCAGAACAGCGCACAAAGCCCCGCCCCCTTCCACAGAGAACAGACACACCGTCAGATTGAGAAGTATGGATGGATAAGTTGCAGTAAAAAGAAAAGGATTAAAAAAATAAAATAAAATCAACATTTAATAATGAAATGTCTCTGTCTGTCTGTCATTCTTTTGGTCAATTTCATAATAATCTGTTCTTCTGTAGCCACTGCAAAGTGAGTAATTATGTAAATATTGATTGCATCCGATTACAAAACTGAAATTCTGAAGATTATTAATAACACACAGAGATATGTTTGTCAGAGTTTGTTTATTTTTCTACCTATTTGTGGAAATTAGCTGATAGTTAATAGGCTCGAATAGAATTGTGTTTAAATTCCAGTCTACATTATCATTTGGTAGGGAGTTCATGTTTACATCAAGGTAAACGCATTCTGACTTTTCTCAACTTTGAGTCACCATTTTCAAGACATTCTCAAATATATTCTTAAAACTGGTACACAACTGAGGAAAACGCCATGAGAAGCTCCTGGAATCGACTCTGTTCCAGGAACTTCTCAAGTGTGTCGCCACAGCAAGTGTGTATCTGTAACATGGAATTCACAGACATTTCAACATTTCACAAAAGCAATATGAAAAGTGTCTTCAATAGAGAAATGCTATGTTATGGATCACATGATAAGACTTCTGACTTTTTCCAACAGTCACTGACAACCAACACAAGCAAAGATAGCAAAAAAAGAAACAAATATTGATTGCATCCGATTACAAAACTGAAATTCTGAAGATTATTAATAACACACAGAGATATGTTTGTCAGAGTTTGTTTATTTTTCTACCTATTTGTGGAAATTAGCTGATAGTTAATAGGCTCGAATAGAATTGTGTTTAAATTCCAGTCTACATTATCATTTGGTAGGGAGTTCATGTTTACATCAAAGTAAACGCATTCTGACTTTAATTAGTAAACGCAAGTGACGTTAATTAGTTGACATTTTAAACTGAATACAGAAACACATTATCTTACTGGTTTTATTCTAATTCCCTGCAACGGAGAAGGAGGTGTTTTTGGTTTAGTCATTGACTATGAATATATAACATATGCGCTTCCTTACTGTAGAAGATGTACGAACTTATGTTTTTATTTTGCCATGATTTTTTTAATTAATTTATTTATTTTTATCTCAGATCATTAAGGATCAGATGCTTACTCAGCATTGTACATCCTGATGTATTTGAGGTCAGTGAGCAACTGGGCTTTCTGGGAACATTGCAGTGCGATCACACTTATTGGCCAGCAGGTGGCAGTAGGTGGGTTTGACTCACTGCCAGCCATCATCAATCTCTGACCTGACATGCTTTACAGAACTCAACAATTTATTCTTCCTCCTCCTGCTCAAAGTATGGGATCAAGATGCACTAGTAGCTATTTCAAAAGCACTTATTACTCAAGCCATTTTAATATTTTGTTGGTTTTGTTGCCATCTGTGACTTGATCAGTGATTCAGTAGCCATGTAGAGGATAGGTGGAGGATGTGTATGACCCATCGCACCTCCAACTAAATATTTGCCATGTTTCCAAATGCCATAAATGCAGTTGTTTTTGACCAACTCACTCTTAATATAAATGATTGTGGCTGGAGATTATAGATTAACAGACTAACTTAAGCCACAATATTTTAACAAAAACAGGGCCTATAGATAAAGCACAAATTTGAATAAAATATACACAAAATAGATATTTTTAAATATGTGACTAAACTAACCTGGGCCATGTGAGCACAACAATGTATGTTTTCTTGGCATTTGCTGCATATTTGTATTTTAAACTTTGTAGTAGGTGGAGGGTGTCGTTAAAATCTCTTGTCCTGGACCAGAACTCGATACATTATAATAGTTTCAAACAATTAAAGAAATACTAAGATACAATATTATGACATTTAAGTATAAATAATTGTAAAAGTATCAATAAATTGAATTAAAAATAATTGTTAGATATTTTCCAACTCAATTGAAATTTGTCCCAAGTTTTTATCAACACTGTCGGACAAAAAACAAGAAAAGAAAAAAAAAAATCAGGCATTAATGGCGGTGACCTTCAGTTCTGTCGACTCTGTCAGATGGACTTTATGTTGTTTTTTTGTTTTAAATAATATCTCTTTTGTTTCTTGAGACGCATTTTTCTGTAAAAACGAGTACAAATGTCACTGATAGGGTCATTCGAACATCATTTTATATTTATTTTTATCAGATGGTGTTGACAAAGTTCTAGGTCAGGTCCATTAAAAATGTCATTTTCAAAAAAATGTTGCAACTGGGAGCCTGCACCTCAGCATCTTCACACTTCTGAAACATAATGTCATATTTGTATACATAAGATTGAGGAATAATAAATTTTTGGGGGGATGTAAACCCATTTTGTCCCACTTCTAAAGAATCACTGACAGATATGTTCTCTATCAGGTCTGTTTGTTCTGGTCCCAAATCATGTGATTGGCCAATTCACTACTTGCGCTCCCTTCACCTCTAAATGTGGTTGAGTTTGTTAAAATAACTTTGCTACTAAAACTTAATATGCAAAGCAGTTTATTTTGCTGGGTGTCTCTGTGTTGAGAACTATAGGAACAAATGATTGTTCATTCCACCCTCAACCCGGGACCATGTCAAGCAACACGTTTTTTTATAGGTGCGTAAAAAATGATTCTTGCGCCTTTTATGCATATATATATTTAATATACATTTTTGCATAAAAAGTATTAATACGTAAGAAGAACCTTTGTTTTCACTGTAGTAGTTAAGCCCCGCCCTCCTTGTAAATCCGATCTTCAGCCAATAAGAGTCCTTCGCGCGGAATTTCAAATACTTTTCAAATTCCGATTCTTTCCACGTCGTGAGATTGCTCCGCCAAATTTGTAAACAAAGTAGTCCCTTTAAGGAACCTGTTGTTAAAATTTGATTTTCAGGGTAAACTATAGCACACTGTGAAATCACATTAACACGGAAGAGAACGTTTGACGAGCAAATGTGAATTGGTTAACGCTGACACTTCCGTGGGTTTTCTGCGCGCGTGGAGCTGAGCGGAGGGATTTTCACAGCAACACTACGGAAGAGGACGGAGCGCCAGGGACTGCTGTCCGCTGTAGTTAAAGTTAAAGACTCGTCGGTCGGTCTGTCGGTTAGTCCTGTTTTTAGCCCAATTAGGATGGAAGTTTCAAATTAAAAGGTATTGCAGTCGTTCGCAGGTTCATGTTTACGGATAGACGAAAGACGAGGCACATTTGAACGGATCTACAGGTAAGAGGTGACCGGTAATGATTATTTAACGGCGTTTTGTTTCGTGTGTGAACCTCAATACGTTGCTGTTTAACGTCAGTAGGCGACGTTGTAGCGAGGTGATGAAACTACGAGCCCTAAAGGGGCACATTTCGTCTTGTAGCATAATTACCCTCTGAGGATATGTATGTTTATGCCTCTTTTTGACAGTTTAGGCCCCAAAGCTGAGTTTCTGCGTGGACGTTGCACGCGGGCCTCGGTGCGGGTTCTAACTCGAGCCTTTAGCCTTTAGCAGTGAAAGTCAAACTGCCTTCATTTGACTCTTTTGTTTTGCTTCGTGCTTCCAAGTTTCCCAACACAACAACGACACATTCCCAGCGCCGCGTCCAGCTCACAGTTGACTTCTCGTTACTCACGTCGGCTTTTCTGTCCGCCTTCACGTCCTCCAGGTAAACGCTGGTAAAATGCCGCTGCATGGCAAGATAGTGGTGATCAAGAGGAGCGGAGGAGACGGGACTGAGTTTCCTCTCACTGCATCGTGTCTGTTTGGAAGGTGAGCTCAAATAATTCATTACTTTTGGTGAAGAACTTCTAAAGCAGCAATAGAAATATGGAAGGTAAAGGAAGTGTGGATGAATGTTTGTCATGCTTCCTTCCACTTGTAGCATCCAGCTGTTTGTCTCCCATCCTCTAAATATGAATCAATATGTCATGTATAGTAATGTCTGAATATTTGTTTGTGAATCACATTGCAACCAGTCCTTTGTCCTTGGTCCGTTTCTGCTGCCGTGTGTCCATCTTAGCTTTCTTTTCATCATTTCATTTTGTGATTTTTGATAGAAGCCCACTTTTGAGGAAGAAAGGAACAAGTTCCGCTCCTGTTGTCAAGGGAGCGAATATATAACCAGCTGTGTCTAATAAAGTGAATCCTTTTTATTTTTATATTTTTTTTAATTACTTGTCAATTTTATGCACAAATGTACATATCTTTCAATTTGTTCTTTAATTACTTACACAGTTACACGTTTCTTTTAATTTAGTTTTTTCCTGGAAACAGTAAAAAAACTATATATATTTATTTATTTTTTTATTATTATTATTTTAAATGTGACCTTCAGAAGTATTTTTGCAGTCCGTTACATTCCACTGTAAACATATTGTCTGTGAAATGTTCCACTTGTTTCCCTCTCATCTTCCAGGAAGGCCGAATGCGACATTCGTATTCAGCTTCCTCAGGTTTCCAAGGAGCACTGCAGAATTGACTTGAATGAAAATAAAGAGGTGAATGCCTCTGCAAATATCGTCTGTTCTGTCTTTACGTGGCCATTCATGTTGGATGTGGTTTGAGCTAATTGTTCTTCGTCTCCCCCCAGATAATTTTGACCAATCTGAGCTCAGCCAATCCGACTCGTGTCAACGGCGAGGCTCTGACTCAGTCTGAGCGCTTGAAGCATGGTGATGTGATAACTATTGTCGATCGTTCTTTCAGGTAAGCAGGAAAGTGAAAATGTAAGGCTGAAAATATGAGATATAGTTTTTATGTCTGTCTCATTTTGTCAGGTTGCTTTCTGAGCATAACAGTGGTGATATTATAATGTGGACATGTCTGCAGTTAGTTTGCACAGAAATGAATTGATTTGTTACAAATTGATGCTCTGACACAAAACCTGGTGAAAATACAGAACTTGATGCAATCATGCTTCAATTTCCATCAGCCTGATGAGCGATTGTGTGATTTATATATATATGTATGTATGTATGTATGTATATATATATATATATATATATATATATATATATAATTTTTTTTTTCTGACAATATCTCAGGTTTGAGTATGCGCCTACACAAACACCGAAGAAGAGAACTTCTGGGGTCAAGTCTGAAACCCTTAAGGTGATTTTAGCGTTTTATATTCTATCAAAATTTCCTGGTAATTAACACATTTTTGAGCCTTCACTTCTGATAAAATAAATGTCATTTAGAGATATTTTAATGTGTTTAGGTTCTTCGAGATCAGCGAGTGGCTCACAGTGTTGTTGCCGCTGACGCAGGAGAAAAGGGAATCTCTGAAGTCTCGACAGGTAACACTGTTAACCTTCAGTCTCATGTTTGTGCTGCACGTTTGGTTGGTAGCAGATTAAAACTGAGCAATCTAAAATAAAAATCTAAACACGAGATGACAAGTATTACCAGGTTCTTTTCTCGGTTTGCATGGGATAATAGTCACTTAATAAAAGAAGATGGTTTATTGTTAAAATGTTTGTTCAGTATTTATTTCTCACTTGAATGGAAGTGGCTTTTGAAGATGGATATCTTAGCTTTTCTGTATTCTGCTGGGATTTTAACAGTAGGTGCTTTGGGCTTTTAGTTACTGACATAACTAACTGATAACTGGGTTAATTTTACAAACAGGATATTTTACAGCTTTTGGGGACTCTGTTGCCTTAAACAGCAACAAGATTGTATTTATTTTTTTAAAAACAGTAAAAGTATGCAATCAAAGTGTGAAAGAATTTATTCAGTGCAGAATTTATACTGTTTTTGAAACTGAGACCATTAAGTAAAGTTATTTTTAACACTTCTGGAACTTTTGTGTGAACCTACATGTTGTGATGAGGCTGCTACTCTTGAATTTCTATTACACTTCTTTTATTCTAGAAATATTGGTATTGCATTCTGTCTTAGATGTCTTTACATATTTCAAATGGTTTTTAAAATTGAAAGACATTTTAGTGGGTTTTGCCTCAGTTGCAAGGTACTTCATAACAATGGTGTGTTATTGTATATATTCCCTTTCTATAATGACAACAGAGCGTTATTGCAAATTAGGAACTGATTAAAACCCTATGTGGAATGCATCTGTGACGCGTTAATCTAACTATGACGTTGGATTGCTTTGTCCCACACAAGTAAGCCATTGATTTATAAAATAATGTTTGACAGTAGCTGAAGTGTAGAAATGCATTTTTGTTTGGTTTTTCAGACCCTCATCTCAAAGATGGAGCTAACTATAACAACATCCAGCGATCCTTGGAGAAAACCTTGGAATTGGAGTCCCAGGAAGATGAGAAGAACTCGCCATTTAGTGATCTGTATCAAATGATCAAAAAGTCGTTGGATGTCAAGACTCCTCGCAAGTCTTCCGCAAGTGTGGTTCAGACACCGTCCTCGAAGTTTTGCACTCCAAGACCGGGTTCGGTTGTCAAGAAGAGTGAAAAAGGGGTCGTTCTCACACCCAAGAAGGAAGAAGATCCCAAATTTAAAACCCCGCAGTCTGTCAAGAAACGGGGGGAGACCTTCCAGGTTCCTTCTGTTGAGGGCCCTGGTCCCGGAGTGGAAGAAGCTGGAAAGTCTGAAGGTACTTCACAGCGGAGAAGAATCTCAACCCCTCCGAAATTCACCGCCTCAGAGGTTATTGAGCAAATAACTGCTTCAGCATCTAAGTCGCCGGTCAGAAGGAGAAGCAAGGAAAGCACACCGGCTAAATCTGGCATGTCCATGGAGCAAGAAGGACAAGCTGGAAAATCTCCCAAATTGGAAAGTCCACCAAAGAAATCTCCTAAAAACTCAGGATCTGCTGAAAAAGGTTTTGTTTCTTCTTTTATTTGATTGGATTAGCTCATATAAAACAATTAGTTAAGTACCACAGTTTGCATTTAACTTCATGTAAAGATTTATGTTTTTTTTCTTAGCAAAAATGTCCAAAAAACGCAAAAGCGAGGAGCTTGGGAAAGACCTGCTGATACCAAACCTGAAAAGGAAACGAGTTTCCTTCGGAGGCCACCTCAGCCCAGAGTTATTTGACAAACGCCTGCCACCTGACTCTCCACTGCGCAAAGGGGCCAGTCCAAGGAGGAGCCTATCTCTCTATAAACCCAAACTGTCTCTTCTTAGAAGAGCATCTGTCATTGGGTTGCTGAAGGTTAGTGAAAAGTTTTCTTCCTGAAGCTGTTGTTTTAGGTCATAAACTTTTACTTAAATTTAATTTTTTTCCCAGGAGCAGAGGACATCGTCACCTAAGTTCAAAAAGAGTGCTTCTCCCAAGACTCCAACAGGGAAGGCATCACCAAAATCAAGGTCCATTTCCCCTGGTGAGAAGTCTCCCAGGTCCAAGTCGGCTTCACCTAAAGCCACCCCTGGGAACAAGTCTCCCAAGGCTGCAAGTCCAGCTCAGAAGACGCCTAAATCCAGGTCCACTTCTCCCAAGGCTTCAAGTCCAGCTCAGAAGACGCCTAAATCCAGGTCCACTTCTCCCAAGGCTGCAAGTCCAGCTCAGAAGACGCCTAAATCCAGGTCCACTTCTCCCAAGGCTGCAAGTCCAGCTCAGAAGACGCCTAAATCCAGGTCCACTTCTCCCAAGGCTGCAAGTCCAGCTCAGAAGACGCCTAAATCCAGGTCCACTTCTCCCAAGGCTGCAAGTCCAGCTCAGAAGACGCCTAAATCCAGGTCCACTTCTCCCAAGGCTGCAAGTCCAGCTCAGAAGACGCCTAAATCCAGGTCCACTTCTCCCAAGGCTGCAAGTCCAGCTCAGAAGACGCCTAAATCCAGGTCCACTTCTCCCAAGGCTGCAAGTCCAGCTCAGAAGACGCCTAAATCCAGGTCCACTTCTCCCAAGGCCTTGACCAGCATAACATCAGTGAAAACACCCTTTAATTCAGGCATCCTCACCTCGTCTGTCCAAGGTCGCTTCTCTGTGTCACGTATCAGGACCCCCTCTCCAACTACAGAAGTCACTCAACAGGCGCCTTTGCTTGCTGGTACCCCAAAGATTCCTCTCAGGAGGAAGAGTATGAAGAGTGCATCACAGAGGACTCCAGGTGTTGCCAAGAGTGCAGTGAAAGTCTTACAGAGACGAAGTGGCATTTCACGGGCATCAATGAAAGGTGTGTTATATGCTGAAGTATGAAAGTAACTTTTGCTTCCTTGTGAATACTATGGAAAGAGCTTTGAGCTACTCAAAGCTGACATTTGTTCATCATCTGTATTTCATTGACTCTCCAGCTCTAAGTTCCTGGGCAAATATTGTAAAATTTGGACAAACTAAGACTTCAGTTGTTGCTCCAACTGAAAAGAAGATCATTCAGAAACCCCTGAAGAAAGTTGTGTCCAAACCACAGGTTTGTTCTTTAGATTGATCTGTTCAAGCTGTTACAAAACACTAAAACCACAACTGCTGCTGAAGTGTGTTTTTTTTTCCCCCTTTCAACCTGTCAGACCCCTGCCAGGCAACTAAAAGGCTACACAAGCACTGGGCATGCAGATTCCCCTGCCACCATCCTTGTTGGGAGAGCTCACAAAAAAACCATTGTACATCCAACCGGAGCTGCACCCAAAGTGGTCATGAATCCTGCAATGTTCAAAAAGGAAATGAAAATGGATGAAGATTTAACAGGTAGCTGTATCTTTCTCTGGCCCCACAGATCACATGTTGTAGATTTCAGTTTTGCAACTGCCTGTATCTTTGAATTTCAGGACTCTCTGAGATGTTCAAAACTCCGGTAAATGAGAAGAGAAGGTGTTTGGTCAGTGAGAGCAGTGCCAAAAAGACGCCAATAGCAACTTCTTCTATGGTGGAACCGTCAGTGCTGAACACCCCGGAGGAGCCAGGTAATTTGGCTTTTCAGGTTATGCTATTGAAGCAGACTAAAATCATAATTATTTTTGCCAAAACAACTGTTCAGGGCTGAAGGTGTTCAAAAATGTAACTTGCCTTTCAGATGAAATGATGGTGTCTCCGCTGAGTGTAGCGTCTACAGTAAAGAGTCAAAGGTACAACAGTGAGGCAGTCCAGCGCCTTCTCAGTGGAGATGAAGAAGCAAATTTTGTCAGTGACACTCCTGCCTCGGAAGTTCGTTCAGAGTCTAAACGCTCAGATTCAAAGGCGGGCTCTGTCAAAACTCCCAAACAGAAGCCAGAATTACCCATCTGTCTAACTGGAGTCAAGAGGATCATGAAAACACCGAGACAGAAGGCTAAGCCCATTGAAGATTTGAGAGGAAAACTCCTGAAAACTCCAAAACAGAAACCTGTGCAACAGGAATGTCTCACTGGAATCAAGAGGATCATGAAGACACCAAGACAGAAAGCCGAACCTTTAGAGGACATCAGAGGAAATCTTTTGGTAACTCCTAAACAGAAAACCGAACAACCAGAGTGTCTCACTGGGATCAAACGCATCTTTGCAACTCCGAAGCAGAAGGTGGAACCTCTAGAAGACCTTCAGGGAAAACTCTTGAAGACTCCAAAAGCCAGACAGAGCACTGACGTCAGCTTGGATGGTGTTAAGGATCTTCTCCAGACACCAATCCACCAGTCCCAGATGAAGGCTCTTACCACTGTTGAGAAAGTGATGAAGACTCCCAAAGAGGAGACTGCTCCAGTTGTGGATGTGGTTGGTATGAAGAGGCTACCGAAAACTCCCAAACAGAGAGGTGAACCTGTAGAAGACAACTTTGGCATCAAAAGGCTGATGAAATCCCCGAGACTGAGAGGAAATCCTCCAGTAGAAGACTTTGAGGGACTTCAGGAGCTCATGGAAGAACCAGTGACCTACCTGACAGAGCAGCCACCAGATAAGGTGATAAGTGGAGCATGAGCAATTGTAATGAATTATGAAAAATCTTTATATTGAGTGTTTTCTCAAATGAATTTGTCTTGCTGCTCTGATTTAACAAGTATCTTTTGCCTTTCACATTTATAGCCATCAGATGCCATGGAAGCGCAACCTCAAAGTGTCAAAGAAAGCAATACAACCAGTGCTTCTCTTGACAGAAAATCTGTTCGGGGTAGGAGGGCAAAAGCTGTGGAACCCAAACAAGAGGAAACAAAAGTACTGCCGGAACCTTCTCAAAATGCCATGGTGTCTGCACCAGCTAAGGGAAGAAGAGAAAAGAAACCTGAGACCAAAGCACCACCTGCTGTTAGTCGCACCACAAGAGGCAAGAATGCAGAAGTCCCTGAAAGCAGAGATGTTGAAGAAAGTCTCCCAGAGTCTCCAAAGGTTGCTCTGAAAAGACGAAGACCTATCAAAAGAGTCCAAGATGAGGCAATAGAGCTAAAGCAGAATCCTGCTGCTGAAGAGGCCGCGGCCCCAGAACCTGAGATCGATTCAGTGCTAGCCAATGATGTGCATGAAGGTCCAGCACTTGTAGAGAAAGCAGTGCTGAAGCCCAAACGAGGAAGAAAACCCAAACAACCTGAAGAACTGGCACAGCAGGAGCAGAACCTTTCTAAAAGTGAGTAATTTTACAATGCATAATTTTGTATTTAATCACTTATGACATTAACTGTCTACACCTGTTTAGTTTAGGAATATTCATACCGTTAAACTATAATCTTATTTCAGATGCAGATAAAGACAAGAGTGTTAACTCACCAGATGTTAAGTGTGTGAAGCTACCTGAAGAAGAGAATGCAGATACGGAAGTTGCAGAAACTATCTTGACTCAGAAGAAATCCACGAGAGGCAAAAGAGCTAAACCTGTGGAGGCTAAAGAAGCTGAGGATATACAGGAGACCTCAAATAAGCCTGTTCTTCCTCCAGTCAGAGGAAGGAGAGGAAAAACCATGGAAGCAACAGCATCTCCTGTTAAACAGAACACAAGAACCAGAAATGCTAGGTCTCAAAACACCGTTGATCAGCCAGCTGTTGAAGCTGAGATTGATAGAGCATTGACCCCTCAAGTATCGGAGAAGTCCAATGAAAAGACAACTGACCCTGTAAGTTCAGTACAAGTGACAACCAAACCACTCAGAGGGAGAAAAGCTAAAGAAGCATCCACTGAACCCAAGAAAGATGAATGTCCTGCTGCAAATTCTGAAACTCCTCAACCCATTCCTTCTGTTGGTAAACCCAACAGAGGAAGAAAAGCTAAACCTGATGTTGAGGAGCCAACTGAGGTGGCAGAAGACACCTGTCTCCCTGTGGAGACCAAACCTCCAACAAGGGCTAAAAGAGGAAGAAGTGCTCTACGGAAAGAGGACAAACAGATTGAGGATCACAAGGTGAATTTGCAGGAGACCTCCGAACATCAGGAGCCACCAAAGAAGTCTCGGAGAACAAGAAAGTCTGACCAAGAGCCTATAAAAACCAAGGAAGACATGACGGTCCCAGAAAAGGAACCTAGTGCTGAACAAAGTTCTGTTGCTGTAAAGCCCAGAAGAGGAGGACGGAAAGCTAAAGCAGATGCTGTTATAGAAACCCCTGTGAAGTCCTCAGTACTAATGGCTGTCGCTACAGAGAAACCAAAACGAGGCAGAAAAGGAGAACAAATCCTTCAGGAGACTGTTCCTGCTAAGAATCCTGAACATGAAGAGATCTCTGTGCCATCTCCTCGGGTCCATAAATCTAATCAGGCAACACTGGTGAAAGGCAAGGTTTTACAAACCACTCCAGCTAAGAGAGGTCGCCGGGGTACAGCTCTTCCTCTGGGGGAACCCAAACAAGAACCTGCTCTAGAACCAGTCGTACCAGCAAAAAGAGGAAGACGGGATGCGGCAAAGCCCAAAGCAGACGATGAGGCCAGTGGTGAGGCAAATCCCACCGAAAGCTTGAAGGCTGATGCCCAAGACCCAAAGACGACCAAAAAGGCAGTCAAGTTCAAAAAGGACCTGGAAATCCATGAAATTCCAAAAGCTAAGCCGAAGAAGGCTGTTCGAGGCAGGAAGACAAAAGTTTCAGACCAGGCTGACGCTACCGGTAAAGACGGAGCAAAGGAGGCCAGCAGCACTGAAGAGAAGACTCTCTCAGGTGACGTCGTTCAGCTTCCCAAGAGAGGACGGCGAGGAGCGAAGGTTGCAGAGGTGGTGGCAGAAGATATAGGAGCACAGCAAAAAAACCGACGGGGGAGATCAGCAAAGAAATGACTGTTTTGTAAATACTTTACATCTTAATTACGGTTTCCCCAAATGTTTTTATAATTCCAAATTTTAGGTGTGAGGGCATTGTCAGTTTTATCGACTGAAAATAAAGCACTGCCAATTCTTCAGTAATCCATATTTTAACCTTTTCATATTTTGTTGTATGGTTCTACAAATGCTACTGTGGATGAGGATGTATTAAAATTTTTTTACTACAGTACAATTGTGCAATGGTCTTTTTTATTTACTGCTAACTGGTTCTCAAGGTGCATCAGAGAGGACAGATTTGAAAGCTTTTGTATAAAATGTCAATATAATTTAGGTCAAAACAATATTAGAAAATCATGGCATGTTAAATATCTCATAATATTTATTCTGATTAATCTTAACTGTGTTTCCAGAATTATTTTGTACCTTTATCATTAAGATCCAAACAGACTTAATCTGGCCACACATGGAAAATGTGAGCATAATGGCTTTATTAGTGTGCAGATTCTTAAATCCATGGAAAAAATACACATTTGTACCAAACAGCTTTGAGTTTGATTCTCCATAATAAATACATAATTTTAAACTATGCAACACTGATTTTTGTAAACATAATCCAGACTGCTTGATGAAGTCTCTGGTAGTAAACTTATAGTTATTAAACACTTACTGGTTGTAATAGTACAAATTTAAACCACAGGTTTGAATAGGTCCTACAGTTCATTGTTAAATGCTGTTACAACCAACCGACTTGAAATCACTTTAGTGGTAGGAACCTTGTCAGGAAAACATTGTGACACCCGAACAGATTTCACTGGCGGACTGAACACAAAACTCAGACCTGACCCTGGAGGGAGATTTGAGCGCGGCGCAGTAAGGGTAGCTGCCCTCAAACTGTCCGAGACTGAAGTGTTTTGGTCAATTTTTAGATAAATACTGGCCGCCATGTCTTCAGACAGCGATATACAAACGACAACCAGAGGATTCTGCTGTAAGCTGTGTAACGTCAACTTACCAAACTGTGAGTGACAAGCTAACCGGGGCGCGCGCCCGTTCGGTTGAAAAGTTCAGCTTCTGGTCTTAAGTGTTGTTTGAGCATTATTTTTAATTTAGTTGGAAATATGTGTGTTTATGTGAACAGGCAGTCTAGTGTTGTGGCAGCAGTTTAAAGATTATATTTAAATATCCACGAGTCGAAGCCACGATTTAAATGATCACGTTATGGTTAAAACGATCAACCCTGTTGTTGTGCTGCAGACAGTGCCGTTCACACACATCATTACACACAGGAGGTGAGACAAATTGTGCTGGATCCAAACATATTACTGGAAAGTTGGGTGGAAGGAGAAACTGTTGGAAAAAGGCGCACAAAAAATAGGGATAACCAAAACACTGAGAGGAAGTGTACCCAGGACAGAGGCTACAACTGTAACGTTTGTTGTTGCCTCTCTTGTTCTGATTTATTAGATGTGCATAATTGATTTGACACTAAAAAAATATGTGGAAAATAAATCCATTTGAAATATTTGTTTCATCTTGCTGGGCTGCAGCACGTTGAATAAAAGTGGTCCCTCCACTGTGCATGGAGGAGGAAGTCTGACCAACAAGTTCACTACATGTAACTGATTTTTAAAGTTTTATTATAAAGTAAAACATAAACATAATGACTATGTAGGAGTTGTAGTTCAACAAAATATCATCCAGAGCCTCCAGGCTTAAAACCCACCAATGTGTTTTAAGATAAACCAGAAAATGTAAGGATTTGTGAGAATTGCTTATCACGTTTGTTTCTTCATGTAACACTAATGAAATAAAAACGGGATTATACCGCAGTCCTGTAATTCACATTACACCACACACAGGTAATGCATTGTCTGGTCTGTCTAATAGTTCATTTTCTAATCTTTTTTTGAAAATAACTATCCAGTGCCGAGTGTGGAGCAGCATGTGAAGGGCCGGAAGCACCAGACGCTGAGCACCGTCCGCTCCACCAGGAAGAGCCACGAGGAGCACAGCGTTTTCGTCAGCGGCATCAAACCACAAATCTCCTCGACCGACCTGACCGAGTACTTTGAGCAGTTTGGTTCCGTCTCTGATGTCATCGTGGATAAGGACAAGGTCGGTTATCTTCGGCTGGTCGCGGTGTGCAGCTTTTTTTTTGTGACTTTATTAAAACTTCTTCAATGCTGAACTGTTCCTTTGCCAGGGGGTGTATGCCATCGTTCAGTTCAGTGAGACACAGAGCATCCGGGCGGCTCTGGCCTGCGTCGAGCACCAGCTCAAAGGCCTGAAGCTGCGGGTTAAACCTCGGGAAAAGAAGGAGTTCAAACTGATTCCCAAGAAGAAGAACGATCCTCACAGCCTCCAGCAGATCTTTGACCGGCTCAAGCCTGAGCTGTGTCAGCTTTCTTCGGTAAACCTCCACTTCATCCCAGACTCGTTTTGCTGGACCACTTGCTTCATATGATGTAGATGTCTTGCTTTTCTGTCACTGCTGGAAAATAGCATAATGCTGCCACACCATGTTTAATGTCACCACACAGGGCCTTTCTTTTTTGTAGTTAGTCAAGACGTTAAATCATCCCTGATTAATGCTCGCCCCAATAACACAGTCTTTATTGAAAGCTAATGCTAAACTGCTAACTTCAATTCAAATTACATCTGCTCTTGCAAGATCACAACCCTTTAGCACTAATTTAGTTTTGACATTATAATTTACATGTTCAATAATCCTGTCTGTGTTTTCAAAGCTAAGCTAAAAATGATCTCTGGCATTAGTGGAAGTTACCCACCAATAAATAATTATATGTTACAAGAAAAACAAAAAAACTGCAGTTTTTTTCATCCAGGAAAACATTGAGCTAATTCCCATTAGCTGTACAGTTTAGGAGGGAAATGTTTAGGATTCTACATGTTTGAGTTAAGCGATTGCTGTTGTCATTTTCTGTGTTATAATAAAGTGTTGAAATGCTTTTATGCGTACCAACCAGACTCCTTCCATTTTCAGATGATGGGCTGAACAGTGTTGGATTAGACTGCATTGTCTTTTAGCCTAATCCTGCATTAGCTTGTCTCTTCTGTCTGTCATTCCAAAGTAAAGTTGTGTTATAATGTGATGAAATGCAGAAAATCTCAAGGTAAATAAAATCTGCCAGTGTTCTAATGTTTATCTTCCTCCATTGGATTCTATTGAAAGTCTGGAAGCTCTTTTTTATCTAGTAAAAATGTGCATGTCGATTGTTACTGACGTAGCTTTGGTCTACCCTGTGCTTGGTCCCAGGTGGATGCCCAGATGAAGCTGCTGGTGGAGCGACTCCAGCTGGGAGAAAATGAAAAGAAGGCCAGAGGGTTGGTGGTCCAGCTCCTGCAGGAGGTCTTTGTTGAATTCTTTCCAGGTATCTGTCTCCTGCATGACCTTAGCATGAGAGATGTTCATTTTTCATGATGTTCAATGTCTATTTTCAACATTCCTGCGGGTTCCAGACAGTCAGACTTTGCTCTTTGGTTCATCCGTCAACACTTTCGGCATTCACTCGTGTGACTTGGACCTGTTCCTGGACCTGGAAAACACCAAGACGTTCCAAGCACGGGCTAAGACCTCCACAGAGCAGGTCTGGTGCTCTTACCCTCATCTCGACCTGTCCAGATGTCATTGTGGATGAGTTGAGGTGATTCTTTGCTCTCTTCCTCCTCCCTCCAGACAGGCGAAGGCGTGTCGGACGACGGCCGCTCGGAGGACTCCATCCTGTCCGACATCGATCTGTCCACGGCGTCTGCAGCCGAGGTCTTGGAGCTCGTGGCCACCATCCTGAAGCGCTGCGTCCCCAGCGTGCACAAAGTCCACGTGGTCAGCACCGCTCGCCTCCCCGTCGTCAAGTACCATCACCGCGAGCTCAACCTGCATGGAGACATCACGCTGAACAACAGGTTGGTGAGGAATATGGTTTGTTTTTTTTATTAATGCATGTTTCTGTATGTTTTGCTTTTTCCTCTGCTCTCTGTTGGTCAGACTTGGTGTGAGGAACACCCGCTTCTTGCAGCTGCTGTCGGGGCTGGAGGAGAGGCTGAGGCCTCTGGTGTTCACCATCCGGTACTGGGCCAAGCAGAAGCAGATCGCTGGTAGGATTCCAATTCAATTCCAAAACATTTTACTGACGTTTCATTTTGTAACTCTTATAAATTCCAAAGAATTACTGTAGACGGTGATGGCATCTTTAGATTTTCCATTTATAAATGTGAAATATTCAATGTTTATTTAGGTTGTTATTTCAGTCTCCGACCAGCAGGTGTCAGTAGAACCACACATTACTCCCTAACAATTCCTCTAAACTAATTTATCTTTCACTTTATTTCTTATGAATTTATTTTACCCTCTTTTTGTTTTTTCTTACTTAAGCCTCAGTAAAGAATAAAGAAATCAAAATTACAGCTCCTTTTGTGCTGGGTCAGTAAACTTAAATGAAGTCTTATTAAAGCCGTTCTTCACCTGAAGAGCACGTTAATTACCTTTCCTCTGTGCCAGCTCTCTTTGAACTGGAGGCTGGCGCCGCCTCCGCCGGCCCTTTCATCAGAGGAGTCAGGCGAGTGTGATGACACGTAAAGCTGCAGCTTTGACCCAAAATGGCCGTCTGAAAGCAATCGCTTTGATCAGCGCTGGCAATTTACAAAAAAACCAATAATCATAGGAAATTATCGTGTCACAATGAAGTTTTCCCAACATCAAAACCGATTGTTGAAATCCAGTTTTATTAGTTTGATTGGGCTATTTTTTAAAATTATTATTACTATTATCTTTATTTATTTATTTTCACATTCTGGATGCTGTTCCGGTCAGAAGTTTGAATAGATTCTTCATGGGCATGAAAATTATAGAAATATGAAAGTTTTACTTATTTTAAAGTGTGAAAAGTTAAAGCGACATCAGACTTAAATGTATGTAATTCACAATATTTTTGCTTAAGCAGTTTTTTTATACGTGACGGTCAGAAATATACATACAGCCTCAAACATAAAGTCTGAAGATGCAGCAGTGGACAGAGTTTCTACATTTTGGGTGATGGGCAATTGGTCAGTACTGACTTAATGAACAAAAAAATCTGTCAAAACAGGAATCAGCTGGTCTTGCTTTGTAAAGATCGGCCTGAAAACTGCAATCGGTGCAGCTCTTCTTTCTTTAGACGAGAAAAAAAGAATAAAACCATCCACTATCTTCCTGATAGTTACTTTCTTTTTTTAAGGGTGAAAAAAGAGTCAAAATACCCACAATCTGACATTTAGATACTTACTTTCTTTTATCAAGGGTGAAATAAAGAGTAAAAATACCCACTATCTGCCTTTCATAGTGTTACTTTTATCTTTAAGGGTAAAAAAAATAGTAAAAATACCCTCTATCCGCCTTTTAGATAGTTACTTTCTTTCTTTAAGGGTGAACAAACAGTAAAAATATCCACTATCTTTCCCATCATTTTTGTACTCTGCAATTTAGCTCAATATGAGCTGTTTTGTGTTCTGTCACAAAAAGTGGCGAAGGGGAGCGCTTCTTTTAGACAGTGTATCTAGACCGGTTCCAGGATGTGCTTAGACCAGTTCAAGGGTGTGTTTACACTGGTTCCATGGTGTGTTTAGAATCTGTTGGAATTCCAAGAATATTCTAGAAAAAACCAAGCCTTCAACCAGTCAACCCTATGAACATGCAGTGATCAGCGTCACTGTCCTCAGCGACATAATTAAGAATTATGTATTTCCGCTTCAATTTCTTTCTAAGCTTCATTGTGCTGCTTAGTGGAAGTGATATGAGAGAGAACAGTGTGAATAAATAGTGAGAGCTGATGAAGCTCAGCATCAGTTCAGAGATTTCAACCCATAAAGCAGCTGGCTGCTCGCCCCCACGGCTTTTATTGGTTTACGCACAACATGCTGGGTAAAAACGGCTGGATGTTGCTTATAGTGAGACGCTGCACTGAGTCATCTCATATTGCAGCAGGTTCAGTCAGATCCATGATGTTAAGAGGGGGAAAAAAACCAGCTGCTCTTATACTGTCCTCACTTCCACAGAACATAATATCCTGATGTTTAAAACAGTCTTGACTTAATTACTGCTCCATGTTGTTGTTTCATGAGATGGCCTTTATTTCTTTTAGTTAGATTTTTCCAGTTAACGATTCATCGATTACTATCGATTTGTTTCAGCTCTGATCTGATGGTATAAAGTGTCTGGTTGTTTCCTGATAGCAGTTTGTCACCTGCAGGTAACCCCAGCGGCGCCGGCCCGCTCCTCAACAACTATGCCCTGACTCTGCTGGTCGTCTTCTTCCTGCAGAACTGCCGGCCGCCGGTGCTGCCCACGGTGGACCAGCTCAGAGACATGGCCTGTAGGTGCTGCCTCGGTTCACTGACACCGGGTCTGCATGTGCAGAAAGCTCAGAGTGCTTTTCTTTTATTAAAGGGAGAAGAAACACTGATTACCATGAGAACATTAGTCTGTCATAAAACCACGTCGGCAGTTTCCTTTTGTCAAAATGAAAACATTAAAACACATGATTCATGAAAAACACAAGAGCAGACTCTCAACTGCACAATCATGTAAATCATTTGCTGCTGTGAAATTCATTCTGCTGATTAAGAGAAGAGAGGCTTGTTACCCAGGCGATACATGTTCTAAACCCAGAGCATCAGTCAGAGCTGAGGATAGACCTGGCGGCTGTGGAGGAGCTGCACAGAGCTGCAGCTCAGGTCCCCTGATTCAGCTGGGAGAATCAGGGGACGACACATTTCTTTCACTTCCGATATCGATACAGATATCTGAGAACCAGTATCGTCTGATCCGGTACAGAAGACCAGCGCTGAATTGATTTTAAACAGAGTCATAAATGTACTGAAGTAAAAATGTATTTGACAACTTTGCATCAGATCGGCACACAGAAAGACCCTTAAATATGTACTCATAAAAACCGTTTAAGAAACATTGAATCCAATGTTTCTTCTTGATCTTTATGAATTGATTTTAATGTAGGATATAAATCCATCTCTAAACTGTTCAATCTTTTGTGTTCAACTTCATGTTGAAGCCAGCAGTCATCAGATATTGTTTCCCACCATAAACACGTTTGTTCCTTCAGAAAGTTTTTTGGTCCACCGTCCAACCGCCGTCTCTAACTTGAGGTTTCCTCCAGATCTGAGCTGACTTCTGCCTCCAGCTTTGAAAGAAATTACTTTCTAATGTAAAAACAGCTAAAATATTAGGAACCTTGCTCTTGTTCATATCTGCGTGTTTTGCAGGTGAGGAGGAGGAGTGTGTGATCGATGGCTGGAACTGCACCTTCCCCAGTCAGCCCATTGCAGTGCAGCCCAGCCAGAACACTCAGGACCTGTGTAAGTCCTCATGAACCAAACACAATCCAGTTCCTTCTTCAGATAGTTACTGCTGCTTTTGTCTTCACATCAAGTCTTACAGGGAGTCAAGAGACAGTTGATTGTTTTTCCACTAATAAAATTGGGTGAAAAAAAAAAAACTACACCTGTAAATGGACACTTTTCAGATTTGTGGTCAGAGAACTAAAAGCCAGTAATAATTTTCCTTCCACTTCCCACTGATAGTTTAGTTTAGTGGCGAAGTTTGCCGGAACAATCCAAAATTATTGATACCAAGCTGGTATTAGTTTCAGATCAATATTAGAAGATCAATACTATGGTTTCAGATTCCATCTGGAAATGTGTTTTTTGTTATTTTTTGGTATCTTGGTTTCTAAATTTTTTTTCATTTTCTTTCGATTTGCTCTCAAATGATCGTTTTTTTTAGTGCTTTGTTAATTTGTTTGCATTTTTCAACAAATAATTTTAATAGGTTGTTAAATTATTTTGTAGACACATAAACTTTATACAAATTCTGGCCGAGGTTTGAACACAATAATTGAAAAGAAAAAATACCTAAAAGTCAGAAGTCAGTGAGACGTATTTGGATGAGTCAGTTGAGGTCAGGATGGAACAAAGTTCCCATTGGATATGGACGTTTTTTTTGTTTGTTTTTTTTACTTAATGTTATGATATATATTTTCTTCTCATTTATTTTTCCTCTGACATTTTACATGTTCAAAATAAATCAGGGTTTCATTTCCTCTCGTGACTCTGTGATGTTCTCCTCCCAGGTTCTCTGCTCGCCGGTTTCTTCTCCTTCTACACACAGTTTGATTTTCCCAGCATCGTCATTTCCCTCAGGCAGGGCAGCGCGCTTCCAATCACCGACTTCCTGTCGCAGGCGAAAGACGGCGACGCACCGCCGGAGGGGCCTCCCACCGAGCCTAAGCTGGGCCCTCTGAACCTGTTAGACCCCTTCGAGCTCTCGCACAACGTGGCCGGGAACGTGAACGAGCGCTCGCTGCGCAGCTTCCAGAAGGCGTGCCAGGAGGCCGACAGGTTCTGCCGCAGCCTGCGCTACCAGAACAAGAGCACCAAGGGCAAGTCGTGGGGCCTGGGCCGCCTGCTGGCCCCGCTAGGCGACGCCCAGCAGGCCCACCCGGAGCGGCTCATCATCACCATCCCCTTCAGGTCCGCCCCCCTCCCAGAGGGGCTCCGCGGGGAGCTGCACTCGGCAGGAGACGGTTTCAGGCTGCTGTGGTCCAGGAAGGTCTGCTCCGCCGTGGAGGTGGTTCTGAAGACCGTCCTCAGGTGTGAGCTGGAGGTTTCCACAGCAACCGGGGCGGAGGAGATGGAGACCACGCTTAACGACAGCACCCAGAGCGTGGAGTCTCAGAGCGACGGCAGCCCTCGGCGCGTCGGCGCCAAGAGGCCTCTGTCGTCCGGCAGCGACGACTCAGCGACGCCTCCTGGCAAAAAGCAGAGACTGGCAAGAACGACGAAGACCGACTTCCCTCCCTGGATCTGTGTCCAGAAACACGCCGTGTGGGTGGGCAGGCGGAAGGTGAGGCGGGAGCTGGTGAAAGGTCCAGACTGCAGACCTGAGGGCAGCTGCCTGGAGCTGGAGTCCCAGGTCACAGCTTTCATCGCCGACAAAGAGCCAGAGCTAAAGGAGCCCCTGGAGTTCAAGGTCTGCCCCCAGACAGTGGGCGGGACAGAAAACACCAGGCTGCTGCTGAATGTAGAGCCAGGAAGTGACAAGGCAGGGATTTTTCACGACTTCTTTCACTTCCTGGAAGTGTTTGTTCCCAAGATGGTGGAGACGGTGCTGGAGAGCGGAGCGGGCAGCGCTTAGCGCCTGACCCTCTTCACATCCGTCACCAATTACGACACAAAACACAAACTCTGGAGGGAGCAGGGAGGAGATCTGCTGGTCGTTTATATTCAACTGCTCATTTCTTACTGTATAAATGTCCAGTTACGCCGTTTGTCCTGTGAGTTGATCAGATGGTTGAGCCTCTTAAAGTTTGAGACTTGGTATTGTTCTTGATTTGATCTTATTTCTATGAATCCTTCCAAATTATGAAAATAAATAAATACAATTCTCATTCTGAAATTGTTGTGCTTTTTATTCATTCAAACATCATCTTGAAGCCAATGTTTGAACTTAGTGTCTAAATCCTGGTTGGCTGATTTGTTCTGGTTGCACTAAGACAGATGAGGGTAATCACTCAGGTAGGCAGTGTGTTTTATTGCAGCAGACCAGACTGGAGCTGAGTGATGCTCACAGCTCCCCTCTGCTTATTAACTCTATTCATCTCACTTTTTAAAGGGCCGTACGTCCAGCCAGCAGGTCGGAGCTGAAGGTGGGCCTGGAGGTTTGACAGCTGTGGCTGTTCTGTAAATGAAGCAGAAACTGCTGGATGGTTTAATTCCTGCACGTTTGTTGTACGTCTGGAGTAAAATTTAGAGCTAAAGTAGACAGTATAGGTGTCTTAAAGCTAGAAAAACCCAGAACATTTTTAAAAAATTAAACAAAAATATTTTTAAAAATGTTGAGTTTTTCTGTATGATATTGGAACCTTCCTAAAATTATGGTCCAATTTTTCCACCCAAAGCATCTTTTGGCAAAAATCTACTAAACTCTTCACTTTTTCTTCTGTTTAAATTTATGATGAGATTTTTCTTCATCTGTATTGAAGTAGATGTATGTTTGTAAAACTGCAATGGAGAAACGTTTTTTTCGTGTCACACTCAACCAACTGCCGGAAGTTACTACTAGCAAAAACGTCGAGAAAGACGGTAGGAAGTGGTGAGAGGATGAGTGTTTATTTGCTTTTTCTTTTCTTTTTTTTCACAGTGTCCATCCGCAGCTCTCAGTTCATTAAAGGTTCTGCGTCATTCCAATATGTTGAGTCCATAAAATGAGAACGGTCTCATCCAGCGGTTCATGTCTGTGAACGTGGAGGCCGGAGCCGGTTCATTTCGAGTCGTTCACTTTGTGTCCAGAGGGACTCGAGGTCTCCGCAGCTTTTTGGGAAACGTCTGATCACCGCCCGCCTCTCGTCCTCCGTCCATCACCGCAGCTGTGACTCACGACGACGCGGACCGTGACGTCACGCGCGCTCGTGGCGAGACGCGGCTCATTTCTGGTCCGGCCTGTCGTGACCAGAACCGACGACATCTCTCTCGCCGAGAACATGATGGCGCTTCAGAGGGAGATCGGTTGACTGACTGACTTCATAAATGTGTCTCATCCTGCGGTAGATGAGACAGACGCTCAGTCCTTGTTTCATGTTTCCAGAACCTCCTCTGGTTCTGGTCAGTGTTCTCCCATATGAATCCAAGCGCACACTTTCTTAGTCATCACGGTTTCAATGGCATTCATGGCTCATCTGCACTGACTCCACCGTCGACCTTCATTCCTGGACCTCAGTGAGATTCTGACCCACATTCTGTTCCAACCCGGTGGGTTTCAAACACTTGACCCTGTGGATTGAAGGATTGGAGGATGACCCGATGCCTCATGCTTCACAAATCTTATGAGAACCACATTATGTGGTCTAAGATGGACTGTATCATTCTGTTGATGGATTCTTTCCATAATCCATGAAATTACAGAAATTAATTTGCTTAATGGAAATGCACCACTTTCAAAAATATGCCATTTATGTCTTTTTTTATGCTATGATGAGATGATTTTTACATCCGTATCAAAATAGATGTATTTTTTGCAAAGCTGCAACAGAAACACTGTTTTGCGTCACACATACAGCCGGAAGTTACTACTGGCAAAAACGAGGAGAAAGATGTGAGGAAGTGGTAGGAGGATGGATGACTGTTTGTTTCTGCTTTAATATTGTTATTATTATTATTTTGTTGTTTGTTTGTGACTATGTGCAGCTGGCTACACCAGAGCTCTCACAGTTCATAAAAAGTTGTGTATCATAACAACGTAATGAATCCATAACTCTTCTGTAAAATGGCCGACTTCAGCTTATTGCGCCGACGCCTGAATAAGACGCCGATGTCTCCTCTGATTGGCTGATAAAATGTTGCCCTCCAGGGTCATGACATGTCATGTAGCTGTTTATATCATGGTTTTTAGTGACTTATCGTGTCTTATCCATTAAATCCGATTTCATTTCTTATTTGATGGAAACATACGGAGCCCCACATTTGAAAAAAATTTTTTTTTTCATATTAGCCACTTTTAGTCACTTAGAAATGAATAATTGCCGTACAGACTATTCCTTAAAAATAGCATATTTGACTCTGGATCTCAAAGTAGAACTTCAACAGAATCAGTTTAGTATGGCCAATACTGTTTTTATACATACTATATGTATAAAATACAAACAAACATCAGGAACCCCATTTAGAGGACATCTGAGCGATGCCACCCTGGACATATCTCCTTTCTGACCATCCTGCACTTTTTGGGATTCACATGAGGATCTGTGTGTTGCAAATCAGCAATCTTTTTTTTCTGTTTTTATTGCAAAAGCTTTTGTTTTGCTCCTCTTACATAACTAGATATCTTCCTTTAAAGCCAGCTCACAGATCAACACTCCACATTATGGTGGGCCACAATCAACCCCCCATTCTGCCTCCAGAACAATGCAAACAGACCTGGCCGCATGAAAAGCACTCTGTTCATATTAGTGGCTCCCCGCTTCTGCAGATAAGGCTGACTGAAAGTGCATAATCATTTCCCCCTTTCTGTCTGCGATGGCAGGAAGGAGTTGGACATTCTCCGGGGAGATTGCTCCCACTCCAGTACGGACGTCTGTGTGTGTGTGTGTGTGTGTGTGTGTGTGTGTGTGTGTGTGTGTGTGTGTGTGTGTGTGTGTGTGTGGGGGTGTTGTGTGTGTGTGTGTGTGCGGGGGTGTGTGTGTGTGTGTGTGTGTGTGTGTATGCTTAATTGTCCTATTTGGACTGAAGCAGCATGTGTGATCCAAATGAAAATGGAGGTGGGTTTTACCATCAACAGTAAGTAGATCTCCTTTGTGATTGTCCTCAGCTGAAGCTATAAATTGTCGGTTTCGTGCATAACACACATCCTGGACATGAGTGGCATCAGGGCTGCTGCTGGAGGGAGAAAAGTTGCTGAAAATCATTTGTAAATTTTTTGTAAATTTGTAAAATCAGTGGCTTCCCACTGGTTTCATTATCAAGGCCTTGATTGCAACTCAAACACAGGCTCCTGTCTGGGAGCCCGACTGGCTCTTCAGAAGTGCATTAGTTGGGGTTTATTGGACCGTGACAACTCAAACTGTCTGCCCTGTCCTTTATCTGCACACTGTTGGGTTTCACCGTTTACCTGCACACACTGCAGCCAGCGAATGAGTTTGTTTAGTGCGTGTTATTGTTTCTTGCCATTCAGGTTTTATGGGCTGTAGTGGAAATGGAGATAGGACGATTACTCCAGTAGCATTAACTAAATGTTCAGGACAAACAGATAGCAGTGGGTGATTACCAGGATGCACCTAAATGCTGCACTTCCACTTTTAGATAGCTATCTATAGATACTTTATCCATGATGGTTGATCTGTTTTTGTACACTCTTTATGTATTAAAGAGTGAATGAAAAAAACAAAAAATAGTATTGGTTAAAGTTATTGCTCAATAATTGCTCTGAATGGTGAGAATAACTAATGTGTAACACCAAGCTTCACTTGCAGCCTTTACAGCCCGGCCTGTTGGACTTTAATGGTCGTTTCTTTTGGGATTTATGCCTGAATCAAGGTGTGTTTTTGACAGGGGCTTAGGGACAGACAAAGACAAAACCTCTGTTTTTTACAGCTCTATAAACAACGTGTTAAAGGGGGTTGTCATGTTGTCCCCTGGGAGCTCAGCAGAACAGCACAACGCATGCTGAAACGCCCTGAGCAGTAAACTCTGAAACACCGAGGTTTCATTTCTACTTGACGTTGCTGCTGTCGGCTGAGCGGCTTCAAGAGGTTTTGGATCATTCAGTATCTTTGTTATAAAATCGATCTGTTAGAGAGACCTGGTGGCTTCATGGTTTGGATACTTGCTGCAAAGCTGCATCCTTTGACTGACTGGTGGCGTTCAAACATGAGAAAGCAAAGCAAAAAGTTACAGTTTTTGGATAATAAAATGCCCAGAAAAAAATGCTCAACCTTTTGAGAAGAACCTCTGACTTTTGGGCTAACAGTTAAATTTTTGTTTGCTTGCAGTCACTGCTGCACAGCAACTAAATTAACACTTTAGGCTACAGCTAGAAATGCTTAAAATATCACAATAATCCTGTTTGTCCTGCTGGTCTGAAATGTCCAAAATGTAAAAAAGTGGAATGAACTTCATATTTATGTACGAATAAGTGATTAACCAACAGGGAAGGCATTTATCAGTGATCAGTGTTTTGCTGCGTGAAGCAGCTACTTTATTTTGTTCTTCTTTTGGTAAAATAAATGCAGACGTATAGAAACGTTTATGGTTCCAGGTTTTGTTCCTGTCAGTTGCAGCTCTGTGGCCTGAACACAACGGAGATGATCCCTGGATCAGAGATAGTTTATGCTCCAGTTTATTGGATGAAGTCATTTTTCACTGGCTGATGCAAATATTTATTGGTCTTACTGGAATACAGTTTCTCTAACGTCCATGTTGAGTTTCTTTTTTTTTTCTCATCTTGTGAAGAAAATTGATAAAACTGCTTAATCCTAAAAATAAAAAAAAACACTATAAGTAATACAAAAAGATGACCCAACATGAAATCTACATTGTAGTAATTAGCTACAAATAAAGCCTCAGTTGGGGGTTGATTATGCATGACCTTTATATAATAAATGAAAATGGCTCCAATACATTTCATGCAGCGATAGTTTACACAAGTATCTCATTACTGCTTTTAATGTTGCATTAATCACCAGCATTATCGAATTGATTCACGTGTTTGCACACATGCTCAAAATGCACACGCAAACACACGCACACTCATACACACACTTAGAGAGGTTGTACTTGTTGGATAAGAGCTTTCAGGCGTCATAGACCGAACAGCAGACCGTGAAGAGCCCAGACAAACAGGACCTTCCGTCATAAACGTGTTCTGAGTGAGCAGCTCATACCTGAAGGGCTTCTTCTGTGAGCCGAGTCTCTTCCTCCGAAACCTTACAAGACAAAAAAAAAAAAAGTAAATAAAAATATTGAGTTATTTTCCTCCTTAGCTTCCTCCTCTAAAATGTTTTTATAGTGACCTTTAATCCAGTTTAGGACTCGCCAGGCCTGTCGCCTCAAAACACTTCAGAAGACAAAGCGGTCCAATGGGAACACACTTATACAGAATCCTATTCTGTCCACATTCAAATCAAATCAAGTCAGTCATTAAATAAGATTCAGTCCAATTCAGTCATATTTACTGGACAGTACAGAAGATTATGTAATGCAGACTGGTAAAGCATTCTCTAACCACCGCTTCATCATCACAGTCAATCATTTGGTCCTGTTGTTTGTCAGTAACAGCGTCTTAAATGACTTACCATAAAACTCTCTACACCTGTTTCTCTAACTGTGTGCGTGTGTGCGTGCGTGCGTGCGTGCGTGTGTGTGTGTGTGTGTGTGTCTCCAACAGAGTAGTATTATTGATCAGCCTCTCCGGCCTTTCAGTCGCTTCATCACCAGCTGAATAATACATGCCGCGCTGATGAGAGCAAAGCCACACCAGAAAACGAACAAACTCATCATTCCTGGAGGAGATTCATTTCCCACTAATTAATTGTCATTTGTTCAAAGCTTTGATTAAAAACAGTCGTCGCTGCTCTTTATCGGATTGATTCAACCTGTTCGGTTATAAATTTTAAAATATCAAAACAAAAAAACAAAAACATCTGTGGCTGAAAGTTCTTGCCTTGTTGCCTTTGGATATCCTGCCAGCATGAAGCTGTTGCTGCTGATAAAGGCAGTGCGGCTCACTACCTTGGGCAGCATGACCTGGGGGCGCCGGGTCCATTCTGTCAGTTTAGAACCAGATTCATTCGTCGGTCTACACCTGATTTATGGTTCTGGATTTTGCCTCAAACTAAAAGAATTTTAGCTGCATTTCAACATTTGTTAAAAATAAATAAATAAAGGCTTAGATTGGTCAAACCAGCATCATTTCACAGTAAGAACTGATGTTCTATGGGATATTTTTGAACCATTTTTTCGGTTAGTAAAAATAATCTATCTATCTATCTATCTATCTATCTATCTATCTATCTATCTATCTATCTATCTATCTATCTATCTATCTATCTATCTATCTATCTATCTATCTATCTATCTATCTATCTATCTATCTATCTATCTATCTATCTATCTATCTATCTATCTATCTATCTATCTATCTATCTATCTATCTATCTATCTATCTATCTATCTATCTATCTATCTATCTATCTATCTATCTATCTATCTATCTATCTATCTATCTATCTATCTATCTATCTATCTATCTATCTACATATAGATATACAGTATATCTCTCTCTCTATATATATATATATATATATATATATACAGATATATAGAGATATATCTATATATACATGTAAAATATGTATTTATTTTTGGGCCTGTTTAAATTGACATAAGCTTAAAAAGACAAATATCTTCACTGGTTCAATGTGAACAGAATTACTGTATATATAATAAACTATTCACAACTATTCTTTTACAACACATCATCCTGTATTAGCATAAAACAGCGATTCATTTTTTTCTGTCTCTACACTACATACTGTCATTTTCTTTGAGGCTCATTTGTCAGGTTAAAAGTACCTTTTGAAAATAACCAGGTATTAAGTATAGTTTTAATTAAACCCACATTTCTGTTTTCTAAAATGTTTTATATATATTTGTCTGATGTTATATTTTAATTTAAAATGTCATGTGCCTATGAGCCACAAGTGAAAAATTATCACAACTGACAGAAATAAAGGATAAAGGTTTTCAAACATCCAACTGTGTGAAATTGATTTATAAAAAAATGTTCATGTAATAATGAAAGTCTTGAAATAAATCCACTTTTTTATAATATTCTAATTTATTGAACTGGTCTTGATAAAATCCATCTGTTTGTGTAAAAAGTACAAAACTGAGGTTGAAAAAACAATTCTATTGGTTCTGATAAAGTCAGTGGGTCTGTCAGATAAGTGTGTGTGTGAGTGTGTGCATGTGTGCACACACTCACACACAGTTGTGTTTTTATGACTTGTGGGAACTTTACATTGACTTCCATTCATTTTCCATCCCTAACTCTAACCCTACATCTAGTCATCACGTCATAATCTCTAACCCAAAAACAACATTTCCCCTCATGGAGATCAAGAAAAGTCTCCAGAAGGACCAGAAGTCCCCACAACATGACAGGAAATGAAAACCTGGTTCCCACATGCGTGTGTGGGGACAGTTTTGCTTCCTATCTAGTTACATTAAACAGGCGCCAAATCACAAAATAATAATGATAATAATTCTGATTCGTGTCTCGTAAAAACAACACAGGTTCGATTCCCTTCCAGTCAGAAGTCGCAGTGACACTGGATCCAATATAAAAAGAATGATGCGCACATCGTTTTTCATATTCCATAACTCTGCTGAGTAAGAAGCATTACTGTAGATGAGCACGAAGCTTATTGCTGTGAGGTCATCTGCTCTTAACTTACATGAGAATTCAGCTTCCAGCGGGGAAATGCATTGATTTTAGTAAGATGCTTTTGCGCTGACCGTGGTGCTGAAACCTGTAATATTTCAACTTCTTTCCCCACAGCTGCAGAAAAAATATGAAAATACTGGAGCAAAATTAATTTGCCATGTTATTTTTAACAGCCTCACACTTCTCCACATTTCAATTCATTACACACACACACACACACACACACACACACACACACACACACACACACACACGCACGCACGCACGCACGCACGCACACACACACACACGCACGCACGCACGCACGCACACACACACACACACACGCACGCACGCACGCACGCACGCACACACAAATTAAGTCTTCAATTAAAGCCCTGGGTTTCTCAGTGATGCGTTTGGATCATAAATAAAGTGATGCATTCTCAGTCCGCATCTGTGACGTTCGAGTTTGCGCGTGAGCCGATAAGTTTCGTGCGGATAAACGAGGCGTTTCACGCGCCGCTCTTCCAGCAGAGGGGCGTGGCTAAGCTCCCACAGCGCGTCAGGTACCCGCTGCCCACGCTATATAGAGCCACGGACACGGAGAGGAGAGCAGGACCGGACAGGAGCACCGAGGTGACCGAACCACAGGACGAGTCCAACTGTAAGTTTTCACTCTGTTCACTGATGGTTCATTTGTGGAAAGTGTTCTTTTTGCGCGTTGTGTGCTCAACTTACGCCAGGTTAACTCTGGTTTAAACCCTTTATTTTAAAATTTGTTTTATTGATTTTGGTTGATGATATTAAAAAAAAGAAAAAAGTTGACCCTGGCAGCCTGACCCAAGCCTCGCTTCCCAGATGGCCAACATGCTGAGATCGTGGGTGATGTTCGCGGCTCTGGTCGTCTGCCTGCTGGTTTGCTGGAGCGGCTTCGCGGACGCCTACCCTCCCAAACCGGAGAGACCCGAGAGCAACGCCTCGCCGGAGGAGTGGGCCAAGTACCACACAGCTGTCAGGCACTACATCAACCTCATCACCAGGCAAAGGTCAGTGCAGATCAGGGCGCAGGGAGACTTTGTTCAGAAGGTTGTTTTTAATGGTTTTATTTCACAAAAATGAAGAAAAACCCCCCAAAATAATTTTCACACCAGTTAGATGGTTTATTCTTTCAAAAAAAGTACAGATGAGATTTGTTTTACTTTCAGTTCCTGTAATACGTGGCAAAGCCCTCCAAACATCACCAAGACTACAGAGCCTCTTCTGAACAAACAAACCAACAAATTATTTACAGCAACCTTTATAATCTTGAAATTAGGACTGAAAAATTCTACTGATTGATCTAGACGGGTAAACAACTGGTTGATAAGAAACATAACCTTTTTTCTTTTTTTTTTCAATGAGCCACTGTATTTTTCAAGCTGCTGTATTTTGAGATAAACCCGTCTGATCAGTCAGCATATCTGTTTTAATGTCAGGTGAATGCAAAAATAAAGTCTTTTTGACAAACAGAATGCAGTTTGGATAATTGTGAGGTTATGTTTTAGACAGGATAATCCATCAAACACCTGACCAGTTTAAAGGTGTAAGTTCATGATCAAACTAGCTGAGACTCCTTGGCTCTCAGCCACAACTAAAATCAGATCCTGCAAGTAATCAACTTTATGTGCTTTAACCGCATGTCCAGATAACCAATAGAAAACATGTTTAGGAACTGAAAAATAACTATCTTATTGCTGGCCGCAGGCTATGCTTCTCTGGACAAAGAGCCATATCACCCATAACACAATCTCAATTTTCTCTTGGGGAATAAATAACCTCATGTCCTGGGATTGCTCTGCCTCCATTATAAACCTCCATTAAGTGTTGGGCTTAGTTTCAGAAACAACTGAAACAAACTGGTGGTTATTTCTAAAGTCATGTCTTTCATCTAAATCATGAGGCGTGAAATACTGATGTTGGCCAAGCTGGATGCCTTCAGTGTGCCATCCTGGACACTTCCTTCTGCTTCATGCTGAGTGAAAAGACTGAGTAAAACCAGAGCATTTATTTAACTTCCTGGTTGTGTAATTGTTCTGTGATGGAAGCTGTGTATAGTCTTAGCATTAGCCCCTTTTCCTCTGTAATTAAACTGCCTGGATCTGCCAGTGCAGTCGCCTCACGCTGCAGGCAGACGCATGGTTTGCTCTTCAGCACGCAGTCAGAGAAAACCAGTCCACCTGCCAGCCGGTGAACTCGAAAACCCTTATTTCCTTCTCAGATAATTACACATCTCATTTGTGATTGGACTGCATGAGATTGCCAGGGCATGCACAAAGGCTTCTTGGGAGTTTACCCATCTTTGTTCACAGCTTGATGAGCAAAGTTCAGGGGAAGGGGAAAAAAAAAAAAAAACCAAAACGTTGAAATTCATAACAGCATTGATGGGGGTCATGCCTCCAGGCTTTGTAAAGCAAAGAGAAGGAGGACATTGGAGACTTTCCCACTGATGTTTGATTGCGGTCATTACAAGCAAGTGTTTGACTTTTTCTTTTTTCTCTCCAGGTATGGAAAGAGATCTTCCCCTGAGGAGGCGGTAGCCTGGCTGCTGCTGGGCGCAAATTCTGACCAAGACGGCGAGCCGCGGTGAGAAAACCTGGGGGATTCACCCAGAGAGCAGACACTGATGTTTAGAAATAATTACCATTTTCAAGCCTAAAGTCAGTTTAATCTGTCAAGGTAGAAATGCAGCATGTACAAAGGTAGTCTTATGCTATGTAGTGAGTATCATCAGATATTAAAATCATTCAGTAAAACAAAATAAAAAGGCAAGGTTGTGATTTTATACATATTAGGTATTTTTAAAGGGTTTGCACTTTTTTTTTTTGTCTTGCAGCTCCGACTATGCTGGCACATGGTGAATGAGCCCAGACTGAATCGAACCAGCTACCCAATTCCCCCAACCCACCAATCAAAACATTTCTCAAGAGAGCACCTGCACTGGCCACTGGACAGAGTCTCAATATTTAATTGTCTAATGTGCATGCAAATCAGCGTCTCTCTTTTTCTGTTTGTTTTCGGACAGTAACTGTATGTATCTGTTGATTCTCTAAAATTGTAAATAATTTGTATCTATAAAAGTCTCTTCACAATAAATATCTCTGAGTGGAATAAAAAAAAAGTTTGGCAAGCTGGCGCTCTTTTTTTAAAATATATATTCTTGGGAGGTGGATTTATGCGTGTAGTTACATTTTCTACCACTAGATGTCACCATAATCATTTGCCGCGCACATTTGCAAAGCATTTGCAAGTCCGTCTCTTCGGTTTGCGGCTCTTCTATGGGTTCTCGTCGACGCCAGCCGACGGACCTTTAACTTCGCTCAGGTCTACTAGAGCTAAACACGGGGTTTTGACATCACCGAGGCTTTCCGGGCTTCCCTTTAGAAACTGGACCGGTGCGCAGAAGCGGCCCCTTTGGTCAATGGAGCCGTTAGTAAGGGCACGCGCGCCGTTGTAGGCAAGGTAGATAGCTTGTGTGTGTGTGTGTGTGTGTGTTGTGAGGGGGACTGCTGCTGAAGTGACGGCACACAAGCTCCGCTGCGCCTCAGCAACTGACAGACGACCGCCAGTGAAGACTCTGGCCGTCCTGCTGCATCTCAAAGGCGGGAAGGAGTCTGGATACAGGTGCCCGGGGGGCAGGCAGGTGAGCGCGTCAGCACCGTCGCTCTTCTGCCATGGCTGAACGTCGTGTTTAGTTTGTGTCAGTGGGCATACGGCTCACAAACTAAGCCTTTCCCCTTTGTTGCTCGGCATGTGGTTCATTCACTTTGTTATTTGCCAATTCAACTATTGACGTCATTTGTTGGCTCTTCGAGGGTCCGCGTAGAGAAATCCCATTACCAGCCATCAGAATCATTTACTGTCCAATCTCAGGACTGCATCTCGAGGTTAGGAACGTTCCGCACGCGACAGGCTCGTGCGCCTTAATTTCTCCCAGTGGTACTTGTAATATGATGCTAACCGAGCTGCCTCCCCCCCTGTGTGTTTGCACCTGCGCAACAGTCGGCGGAATGAATGCAGACTGTTTCATTTCCATGTTGACAAAGAATGGATGAACGTCATGCACCTGTTCGAAGCCATTGCGCATGCCCACACATTCTGAGAAGGTTGCGGAGGTGTTCGAGCGCGCGGAGCTACAGACGGGCACGTGCTGCAGTGGTGGGAATGTAGTATGATGTATGTAGAGGAGTTATACGTGAAACTGTGCCGGTTTATTTCTATTGTAATGATGCGAATTAAAGATAGGTATGCGCTGATGCAAATTAATTTCTAGTTAATTTAACATTACCTTAAGTTTAGCTTGTATTTCCATCCAAAACAATACAAGCCATCAGAATTTTATGTTTGAAAGAAGGCAAAGCCATGGATGGATAGATTGAGAAGTTATCACAGTCATGGATGGGCATTAATATTATACTACTTTAGGTGATTTAAAGCCTTATTAGAAATGTAAGGTTTAAAAACTAAAATCAAGTGGGCAAGTTTGAATTTACTGGGGATATTCAATAGTACATACACTGTAAAAAATATCCGTAGATTTTACAGTTAAAGAAAGTAAAAAAACGAAAATTTAATACCGTAAATTGGAAATCAGTTTAATACTGTTTATTTAACAAGTAATTACCGTAAATAAGATAATTAAGAAAATATGTAAATTTTACAGTTTTTTTTTTATAAAATTTACGTTGCACTGCTGTAAAATAAAATCTGGTAATACTTTTAACAGTAAAATTCCGTAATTTTTCTAGTAGTACATACTGTAGTTTTTGCAATTTTCTTTCGTAAATAATACAGTTAGGAGCTGTTAAAAATGCATACTGTTGTGACAATTACAGAAACATACTGTAATTTTTCTAGCAAAGTATACTGTAGTTTTTGCATTCAATAATTATAAAGTATACAGTTCAAAACTGTTCAATATGCATACTGCTGTGGAAATTACAAAAATATACTATAATTTTTCTAGCAGTGTATTTTGTAATTTTTACATTTAAGTAATCTAAAGTATACAGTTCAAAACTGTCAATATGCATACTGTTGTGGAAATTAAAAAAAATGTAGTAGTGCTGTAACCTTTGCAATTAATTCTGATTAATACAGTTGGTAACTGGTAAATGGGCATGCTTTTGTGGCAATTACAGAAATACGCTGCAAGGATTTGAAGAGTCAATGCTGTAATTTTGGGGTTTTATGCTTATAAATTTACATATGCTCATGGGGATAACAGAAATATGCTGCACATTTCTTGCATACCTTCTCTTAAGAAATTATGCCTTTAACTGTGAAGAGTATTGGTTATGGGGAAAATATACAGACCCTTTCTAAAAATTGTAATAATCAAAATCTATTTAATAATTCCATTCAAAAAGTTTAACTTTTCATGGAGTCAGTCTTAGTTCATGGGCCAACAGGGCCCCCTGCACCTGGTCCGCGCGGACAGGCGCAGTGTTGCTCTGGCGGTACTTTGGAAGCGGTCGATTTGAACGGACCAATCAGCGCGCTGCATTTGAGGACCCGTCGCACTCGGTGATTGGCGTTTTTGTCCAACTTCCGCTCAGATTGTGCAGAGACTTCATCATCCAACCTTCTCCATCTGATCGGCTCTCTTTCCCAGGTAAGGAAATATTGCGGAAAATTTCAGAAAACAAATCGTTTGAATTGCTTTCGGTTGGTTGAAAAGACATTTCAGGGGAAACGAAGAAAAAAAAAAACGTTTTTGAAAGTTAGCCTCTCTACAAAGCTATTGCTAACATCGGTTTTGTATCGCCATTGCTGTAAGCTATCCATCGAAGTAATATATTTAAGATGTATTCATGCAACCTGTGTGCAGGACCAGTTAAATCTGTTAAAGCCTTTGTTCTCCATTGCAAACTGCATCGCAAACGAACCGAGGCGTAAGTTCAAGTGTGTTGCGGCCGGTTGCGAGCAGGTGTGTTCTGGTTATGCAGCATTAAAAGCACACTTCTATCGTCATCATAATAGCATGCCAACAGTTGCTCTAGACACAAGTGTAACGAAATTAAAATGCACAGTTCCACTTTGTAAATGGCAGTGTGAAGAGATAAAAATTTTGGTTGTTCACTTGAAGGAGCATATAGTAGAGGGGCGCCAAGTAACTTGCCCTGTGAAAGGGTGCACCTCTGTGTTTCGTGTAAAATCTTCCTTTACCTCTCACATCTCCAGGAAACATAAAAATTATTTTGAAAATGTGATTTGTCAAACAAGTAATGAAGATACTCAGAGTGCTTCAAGTGCTACCAAAAAAAGATTCCAGTGTGCATTATCATCTTACATAATAGATGGGAATTGGTTTGTACCATTAAAGCATAGTGTTTTGGCAGTGTAAAGGCTTGATATTAATGGTTCAGAGATCAACCTTTTTTAGTTTTCTGTATTTCAACAGATATGATGGATACACAAAAGGACATTCGTGATGCCATTCGAGCAGTGCTTCCTGGTCTTTCTCAGGAGGTTTTGGCTGCTTTAGAGGATGTGTTGGAAAAACTGGGCACTACAACCGCAGATGATTTCCAGTATATCACCGAAGAAGACTTATTGCCTGTGCTGAAGCCCATACAGGCCAGAAGACTGGTTGCTGCATGGGCCCAAAATAGTAAGTATTTTGAGATAAAGTCTTGTGTAACTTTTGCACATTGTAAAAGATGAAAAATTGTAACAGTAAAAAGTACATGTACTTGTATATATTTATGTATAACTTAATTTGATAGACCAGTTGATAAGATATTTCGAGATAATAGTAGTTTTGACACTTAAGCATATTGTGTATATCTTTTTTTGATAAATATTCTTTTTTTCTTTACCAAAAAAGTTTAGACTTAATGTTTTTCAATTTTATGCGTTGTACCTTTCCAGACTCAATGGCTTCAACTTCAGGCGGGGCATCCTCCTCTCCACAGTCCGTTCAATCCTCTCAACCTGCAGCCTCACTTTCACAACCATCATCTGCTGATACTTCATCGCCTTCCCTGAGCTGCTCCCCAGTTTTGCCAACCTGGGTTGACAGTTGTCAGATACCGTGGCAGAAGCTTCCAGAAGAGCTGATACAGACTTTGGAACGACATAAAAGGCCAAGTGCACGACTTCAAAGACAAATGGTGAGGATTATTGTCTCTGAAATGATGCTGATTTGCAAGAATCCTACCAAACGCGACACTACTGAAATAGCAGAAAGAATGGTGAGCAGGTATCCAAAGTCACTTAAGGATGTCATTGATGGTGACGTTATTGGACTTGGTTATCATTCCCTGGTAAAACAACTCCAGGCAAGAATTGAAAATGTCAAACGACAAGACACACCAAAGATAACTAAACGCAAAGCCAGTGTTCAATACACGTATGGCTGTGTCAACTGGGCGCCAAAGTTTTTGCCCCTTTCTGAGACAGTAGAGAGTCAGCTTAAGAAAAAAGAAGACATAAAAAAGATGTTCAAAGACAAAAAATATGCTGCAGAAGATGTGAAAGAACTTATCAAGTCCACCTATTACACGCAACGAAAGGACATCAATAAAGGTACAAGCATCCTGACGCTATGCCAAGAAAGGCCTTTTTTGTTCCATGAAAATGGCATGGCAGAACACTTCCAGCAACTTACTGGCATCAGTCTGATGGAAGCCTTCTTCACCAATCTGGACAAAAAGGGGGAGCGCATCCTCAACTTCCTGCAAACTGTTTTTGCTCAGAAAGAAAACAAGTTCTGGAGTCTCTCTTCAAGTTAGCAAGTGAAAAAGGTCAATCCAGTGGTTGTACAGAGATGATTCTTCTTCTACTTGCTTTTTTTGGTGAGAAGGAAGAGCAAATGTTCCACTCTGTTGAGAAGACCAGCCTTGTTGAAGAGGTTGAGATGGAGGATGTGCCAGCAACACCCTGCCTTATTGTGTGTGGTATGTATGAACCAAGTTGACAAAGTAGTTGAATGGTTCACACAGGGGCTTTTTGTGATATATATTTGTTCATGTTTTTTATTCAAAGGGTCCTCTTGCTTCACTGCGGACTGCTTCATGTTGAGTATTGATCAGAAGATTATCAATGACCACATCACTGCCTTCTCCTGTGCCATCTGCCTGATGTTTGGCAGTTACTACTGTTTTAATATACACTACCCAGTGGGACTGCGGTCAACACTGGAGTTCCTCCAGAGGTAATTCTTATACTTACACAGTGTCTATATTTACCAGCAAGATGAAGTTTTCACATTATAGATCAGAATGTTACTAGTTACTGAAATATAATAAATACAAAAGACAATTGAAATGGAGGGTAAAAAACTGCTAAATCTAAATATTCATGATAGAAATAATGCCAGTAGAAACTATGAAAATGTTTTATCATTTCTTTGCAGTGTTTAAATTGTATATTTTTTATGGCCATGGACACAGAAGAGTTCTTCAGTCTGTTTGTGAAGCAGAATAGGCACAAAAGCCTGTCACTGAATATTCCTCTGGCTCTGCCACTGAATCCAGCCACCACAAAGCTGGATCTCGTGATATCTTTCTGTTAAGTCATTTATAAACATAACATTAAATGCAATCAAATTTCTTTTCTTCAAGGTGTTTCTTTTCAATTAATCCGGAGAGAGGAACAAAAGTTGAGCATAGCAAGAGGAGGAAGATCTTTGCGGTCAACCCAAGAGTCCTCACACTCATCGCTGACCTTGCAGACCATGAGTGGACTTAGACCATACTTTGTGAGTCATGTGATATGATGTGTAATGTTGTTATGTTGCCGTATGTTGAAAACTGCATTTTATTGGTATTTAAGGTTTACACTGTAAGATTTCAAAATTTTCATCTTCATGTTAAATGTTGCAAATTTATGTTAGACATTTTTTTTCTATATGTAAATAGCAGATGACAATGAAACCGATTTTATGCTGCACCACTGTCAAGGCTTAATGAATATGTGGTGATTTACAAGTTACAAGTCAAAAAACCTGACAAACGTGAACAGTTCTATACCTATTTCAGAAAGGTTACAGTGGTGGCCAGCACATTTGTTAGAAAGTTCTTATTTCTGTGTATGTGCCAATTTCATATGGATTATTCATTTGAAACACTGCACCAGGATTGAAGTGATAATGTTGTGTCATATCTCTTCAAACTTTTGCACTAATGTAAGTGCTTGCTGCTTTTTGGAAGATGTGTTACAAGTTCTTTGTAATCAGTGTGCACAGGGTTGTGAGAAGTTATACAGTCCAAAAAGTTTTCATTAAATGGAAAAAATACAATAAAGTTTGGTTTTTGGATATTTTATATAAAATTTACTTATACTTTTCCATGTTTTTACCATTAGACTACACTGGTAACACATTATTTAGCTGATATAATCGATTTGATAATTTTGCAAAGTAAATTTGCCCTTTTTAATTTCGCAATTTGCACTGTAAAAAAAAAAGTTTCATTTTTACGGTAAAATACTGGCAGCTGTGGTTGCCAGAATTTAACCGTAAAAATTACACACTGTAAAAAAGAAAAACTGTAATTTTTACGGTAAAATACTGGCAGCTGTGGTTGCCAGAATTTAACCGTAAAAATTACACACTGTAAAAAAGAAAAACTGTAATTTTTACGGTAAAATACTGGCAGCTGTGGTTGCCAGAATTTAACCGTAAAAATTACAGTCAGCTAATTTTTACAATTGCTGATTCTACAGTAAAAAATTGTGTTTTATTTAACCTTTTACTGTAAAAATGACAGTTTTTACCATTAAAATTGATCAAGTTTTATCCTAAAATTTACATTAAATCAATATTACAAATACACTGAATTCCTGTATAATTACAGGGTTTTCTCTGTATTTTAAAAAGTATAATTTTTTTGAAATTACAGACAAAACCCTGTAATTATACAGGAATTCAGTGTATTTGTAATATTGTTTTAATGTAAATTTTAGGATAAAACTTGATAAATTTTAATGGTAAAAACTGTCATTTTTACAGTAAAAGGTTAAATAAAACACAATTTTTTACTGTAGAATCAGCAATTGTAAAAATTAGCTGACTGTAATTTTTACGGTTAAATTCTGGCAACCACAGCTGCCAGTATTTTACCGTAAAAATGACAGTTTTTTTTTTACAGTGTATATGATCAGAAATATAGATTCAGGCTGAAATATATAGATACATCACTAGTAATATCTGGATTATACAGTTCTGATGATACATTTCTGGGGAATAAAACAATATAGTTGTAACAGTGTAAACACATTGCAATATACATAAAAGCAAAAAAAAACCCACAAAAAAACTGTGACAAATTAAAATGTAGGGTAAGTTAATGAGTAAGAACAAAAACAAATCCTGAAAACCCGAACTTCTCAAATAATATTTCTGATTCTAAAATATTATGAAGTATTTTGAAGGATTGATTGATTTTATTCTATGAACCACTGACAACATGTCTCTGAAATTCCAAGCAAAAATGTTATTTTTGGCAGGAACTGAGAAATGATCAAAATAACGAAAAAGGTGCAGTTCTTTCAGACCTCAAATAATGCAGAGAAAATAAGTTCATATTCATTTAGAAACAACAATACTAATGTTCAGAAATCAATATTTGGTGGAGTAATAACGTGGTTCAGTGCAATGGGCTCTTGTTTTGTTCCAGAGCTGTATACGTTACTTAATGTAAGCCTTGGTGTCATAAGTTTTCTAATTTTATTTCATAATTTTATTTATCTGTTTCTTTCCCAGTTTAGTTCCTAAAATATCAGAATTCACACATAATCTCATCAGACATATTTTTGTCTATTTCATTACATTATTTTAATATATTAAATCAGATGTTCTTTATAATAATTATAATAATTGTTATTATTTATAATTATTTTTCTTTATTTTCTAAAAACATTCTAATCAGTTATTCAGTACTTAAGTAAACTTTTTACCACATAATTTTTCTTTTACACATACTTGAGTAACTTCTTGGATGAATATTTATTTTTACTTGAGTGAAAATATAATATAAAATGCTACTCTTGTGTGAATGTAATATTTTAGATACTCTACCAATCACTGCATAAACTGTCCCTTTACAAGTTGCTAAGATACCGCACACTTTTGCAGGTATTATGGTGCATCTGACACAAATCAGACCTTAAATTGTTTTCCTTTGAAGCATAATGCACACATTTTCAGTTCCTTTCTACTCCTAATTTCACCCTGCTTTCTCCATCACAAAATAATGTTTGATGTGTGTTTGGGATAATTATCCTTTTGGAACACAAATCCGTCCGCGCTTTAACAAGCTGGATGTTATCTGAGGTAAAGTTGATTCAGAATTTCAACGCAATGGCCACAAAAAAAAAGTCCCTGACATGCAGCAGCCTCTTCTTTTTGTGTGTTAGTTTCATTTATTCTAGAGACAGAATATCAACCAGAGTTCAGAAAAAAAAAAATCACATAAAAGTTTGATTTGCATTTCCTGAGAGAAATAAGTCGTTGGACCCCTGGTCTTACTCACCTAATTTAGCACACAGATTACAATCAAGTTACAAATCTCAGGACTGAACTCCACTCATTTCATCCCACAGTCGAATAAATTAACACTGCCTCTAGTTTGTAACTGGGTTTATTATTGAATAGTGGATAGTTTGCTTTTTGTCACTTCCAAGTTTGATTGGAAAAAATAGAGGATTATACTGTCCTGCCAGATAAAACCGACTTTCCCCAGATATTTTTATTAAAAACGTGATATTGATTGGCTTCTGCAAAATTATAGTAAAAAAAAAAAAAACTCTCCAGGATGTAAAATCAAATAAAAACCCCTTATTTGATTTTTTTGATGTATTTTTAAAAAAATGTTGAATCTTAGTCACAGAGGCCTCATTTTAGAGCTATTCACCGAGATGAAAGAAACCTTCACCCTATTAGGTTGTTCCCTTTAGTAATCCAGGGATTTGCTGTATATTTTGGAGCCTTTGACAGCTCTAGGGGTTGGAGTTAAGATCATCATGACTGGATGTATCTGGACAGAAACATTTCAGGTCCCGGCAGTTCCTTAAAAATTTAAGAGCTCTGCTTCTTCTAGTCTTTGAAAATATATCCTTCAGTAAAAGAAAAAAAAAGATCTACTTCACATCTTTCCTTCCCACCAGAGCATTAAATTGAATAATTTCATATGAAAATGTCAGAGTGACAAAGTCACACATTCAGAAAGATTGACAGAGCAGACCATATACAACAAATGAGTAGATTTTTATTAAACACAAGCAGTTATTTTCTGGCAAAGATCTGGTATTGAAGTGCTGCAGGTACCTCACCATGTTGACCAAGTTAAATTTTCAGTCAGAATTTCTGGTAGATGTGTTTCTACTGATTGTAAAAGCTGAGTTATAACAAGATCAGTACTTTGTGTTGTGTGTTACATTTTCCATTGTTTTAATAATTCTGCTTTGAGTCTCCAGTTACATCAACCACCTTTTTTGGACAGGTTACATTTGTACCATTGTTGAATTCAGTCCAAATGGACCAGAAGCAGAAGTTCAATCAAAAAGTAACATGATCAGTTGTTTTATTATTTTCATTCATTATCATGCTTCTGCATGATAATGCGCAATGCTTGAAGTACAGCAGCTTTACTCCTCCTTCATGCTGCTGCATGATAATGAATGTGTATCAGGAAACCTTTCAGGAGACTGAAGTCCACCTAAAACAGACCCAGAGACACCCATGCTTTGTTGATGCTTGTTTCCCTTTAAAGCCACAATTATGTTGAGCTTT